ATCCTAAAGTGTGCCTACTACATTTTGAGGGCCACTGGTCTAGGAAATTATTTTTAGAAATGTTTATGTTGCATCAGAGAAGTCATTGGGATTCTGCCTGAACAAAGGAAATCAAGCAGTCAGTCCCAGAGATTCCTTATTAGCTACAGATGGATGTTTTAGGGTTGGCTGACTTATAATTTCCTGAGTTTTTCAAACTCAAACCAGCCTCGGTGCAGGTACATGACTGAGGTTGTGGAATGAATATGAATGGGCCAGACTTCTCCCACAAATCCAAACAGGAATATACTGTTATGGGTTCTATAAAAATGTTTTGAAAGCTACTAACCCAACAATTCTAGCAATTCACCCAGTCAACAGAAAAACTGAAGGAATAATATGATGAATACCCATGTTCCCACCACCAGACTCGCATTTTGCTACATTTGTTTTCTCTTCCTTCCTTATACCCTCTTTTCTCTCTGTTTCTCTCCCAATCTCTCTCTTCCCCTACATACTCACACCCGCACTTTTTTCCTGAACCATTTGAAATAAGTTGCAGACATCATGACTTTCACCCCTAAATATTTCAGCATGTGTCTCCTAAGAACAAGGACTCTTCTACGTAAGCCCAATAGACTTAACGTTGATACGATAATGTCATTCAATATAAGTCCATATTAAAATTTACTCATGGGGCCGGCCCGGTGGCGCAGTGGTTAAGTTCACATGATCTGCTTCGGTGGCCTGGGGTTCACTGGTTCGGATCCCGGGTGTGGACATGGCACTGCTTGGGAAGCCATGCTGTGGTAGGCGTCCCACATATAAAGTGGAGTTAGAGGGGCATGGATGTTAGCTCAGGGCCAGGCTTCCTCAGCAAAAAGAGGAGGACTGGCAGCGGATGTTAGCTCAGGGCTAATCTTCCTCAAAACAACCCATAAAACAGTCTCTTAGATGTTGATCCTCTCTTGACAGTGTATAATAGGGGTTACTTAAAAAAATTTATAATTAGCTTTTAGAAAACTTTTATTTATTTATTTATTGAGGAAGATCAGCCCTGAGCTAACATCCACTGCCAATCGTCTTCTTTTTGCTGGCCCTGAGCTAATGTCCGTGCCCATCTTCCTCCACTTTATATGTGGGACACCTACCATAGCATGGCTTGCCAAGCGGTACCATGTCCACACCCAGGATCCAAACCAGCGAACCCCAGGCCACTGAGGTGGAACATGTGCACTTAACCGCTGCACCACTGGGCCAGCCCCTAGAAAACTTTTAATAAAAATAATACATATTCATGGCTTAAAAACACATAGTACAAAAGAGGATATGATGAAAGTTAGAAAGTCCAGTTTAGTAGAGATAACCGTTGTTAACTTTCCAGGATTAGCTGGGTTGTTTTTTTTTTTTTTTTGGTGAGGAAGATTGTCACTGAGCTAACGTCTGTGCCAGTCTTCCTCCATTTTGTATGGGGGACGCTGCCATAGCATTGCTTCCTAAGTGGTGTGTAGGTCTGTGCCCAGGATCTGAACTGGTGAATCCCAGGCTGCTGAAGTGGAGCACGTGAACCTAACCACTGCCGAGCGAACTTAACCACAGCCAGCCCTGGCCCTGTGCTTTTTAATGTAACACTGTTTTTAGTTGGTTTTTTTCACTGGGAAATATTTGCTCTTAGCTTATATCTGTTGCTAATCTTCCTCTTTTTTTTCCTCCCTCAAACCTCCAGTACATAGCTGTATATTCTAGTTGTAAGTCTTTCTAGTTCTTTGTGAGCTGCCGCCCCAGCATCACTACTGACGGATGAGTGGTGTGGTTCCAGGCCCCGGAATCAAATCTTGGCCGCTGAAGCAGTGAGAGGGTAGAACTTTAACCACTAGGCCATCAGGGCTGGCTCATGGGCTTAGCTGATTTTGTTAACACTTGTTTAAATATCGGTCTTGGTGCAGTGGCACTGTAGCATACTAGTTAAAAGCATGGGCTCTGCCCTTACCTTTATGGTCAATGGATTTTCAACATAGGTGCCAAGACGTTTCAATGTGGAAAGAATAAACATTTCAACAAACGGTGTTGGGACAACTGGATTTATCTACATGCAAAAGAGTGGTTAGACCCCTTCCTCACACTATACACAAAGATTAGCTCAAAGTGGATCATAGAATTAAATATGTAAGAGCTAAAACTATAAAACTCTTAGAGGAAAATTATGGGAGTAAATCTTTGGGACTTTGGATTAGGCAATGGTTTCCTAAATATGACATCAAAAACACAAGACAAAAATAAATATGTTGGACTTTATTGAAATTAGAAACTTCTGTGCTTCAAAGGACATCATAAATAAAGTAAAAAAAAAAGCAACAAACCTATGGAAGGGGAGAAAATATTTACAAATCATATATCTGATAAAGGATTTGTATTCAGAATATATAAAGAATTCTTACAAGTCAATAATAAAAAGACCAGTAGCCCAATTATAAAGTGGGAAAAGAATTTGAACAGACATTTCTCAAAGAAGATATATATACAAACAGTCAATAAGCACATGAAAAGTTACTCAACATTATTAGCCATCAGGGAAATGCAAATCAAAACCATAATGAGACACCACTTCACGCCCAACAGGATGGCTGGAATCAAAAAGAACAGATAATAAGTGTTGGCAAGAATGTGGAGAAATGGGGACCCTCCTACATCGCTGGTGGAAATGTAAAATGGTATGGCGGCTTTGGAAAACAGTTTGGTGGTTCCTCAAAAGATTTATCTTGACCCAGCAATTCTACTCCCAGGTATTTACCCGAAAGAATTGAAAACAAGTGTTCAAGCAAAAACCTGGACGTGAATGTTCTTAGCAGCTCTATTCACAACACCAAAAGGTGGAAACAACCCAAATGTCCATCAACTGATGAACAGATAAATAAAATGTGGTGTATCCATACAATGGAATAGTATTTGTCAGTAAAAAGAAATGAAGCACTGACACACGCTGCAACCTGAATGAACCTTGATAATAGTATGCTAAGTGAAAGAAGCCAGTCATGAAAGACCACGTGTTGTGTGATTCTAGAAAGCAGATTAATGATTACCTGGAGGTGGGGCAGGGGAGAGGGAGAGCTAGTTGGGGAAAAATGAGGAGTGAATTTTCTAATGGGTACATGGTACAGGGTTTCTTTTTGGGGGTGATAAAAATGTTCTAAAATTGTTGTGATGATGGTTTCACAACTCTGTAAATATACTAAAAACTATTGAATTGTATACTTTCAATTGGCGAATTCTATGGTATGTGAATTATATGTCAATAAAGCTGTTTTTTAAAAAAATGTGGGTTCTAGAGAATTATGACCTAGGTTTGAATCCAACTCCATTACTTACTGTAAGCTGTGCAAACTTGAGGAAGTTGCCTAACCTCTCTGAGTCTGTTTCCTTGTTTGTAAAATAGGGATGATGGTAGCAGTACCTACCCTAATGGTATCCTTGCAAGGATTAAATGAGATGATGCATGCAAACATTAACTCCCTGTCTAGTTCTAGGTAAACATGAGTATCAACTATGAGGATAATGAGGAGATTGGAGAAGAATGGACAGGTCTTAGATGAGCAGAAATGAGAGGAAAGCACTTATGGAGCAAGGAAGAAGGATAGAATTGAGCTTGATTGGTTTGTGGGCCCTGAAGAAGAGAGCTAGTTTAAAACATTGACAAGCCAGTGGCAGTGCAAACTGGTGCAGCCACTATGGAAAGCAGTTTGGAGTATCCTCAGAAAATTAAGGATAGATCTACCATATGATCCAGCTATTCCATGGCTGGGTATTTATCCAAAGAACTTGAAAACACAAAGGTATAAAGATACTTGCACCCCTATGTTCATTGTGGCATTATACACAATAGCCAAGACTTGGAAGCAACCTAGGTCCCCATCAAGGGACGAATGGATAAAGAAGATGTGGTATTTGTACACGATGGACTACTACTCAGCCATAAGAAATGACGAAATCGGCCATTTGTGACAACATGGATGGACCTTGAGGGTATTATGCTGAGTGAAATAAGTCAGAGAGAGAAAGTCAAATACCATATGATCTCACTCATAAGTAGAAGATAAAAACGACAACAACAAAAAAAAACCAACACATAGCATTGGAGATTGGACTGGTGGTTACCATTGGGGAAGCGGGGAGGGGGGAGGGCAAAAGGGTGATTAGGGTCACATGTGAGGGGATGCACTATAATTAGTGTTTGGGTGGTGAACATGATGTAATGTATCCAGAATTCGAAATATGATGTACATCCGAAGAAAATAAAACTTAAAAAAAAATTAGATTATATATCGAAAAAATAAAACATTGACAAGCCAGAGGTAGCAATCTCGGTGGTTCTGGCTGGTGATGATGCCCAGGCTGACAGTGCTGTCATGTGGGGATAATATGCCACTAAGCTGGCTCATGTGTGTTTTGGTGCCAGATTGGACCACAGCAAAATCCTGGGGAGGAAACAGGGAATTTGAAGAAAGCATTTTTTTGAAATCTCGCTGCGTCTGTGGCCTGCAGATCCAGTGCCTGCTTACCCAGGAATTAGTTGGAGAAAAAGGAGTAAGTCTTGGTTTTAGTGGTTACTCCTGTCTCAGAGCAGGGCTGTGTAAAGAGGGCCAGATCCTTGGCGTTAGGCCTCTCTGCGTTTCAACCACAGTTGGGAGTACGGCTGGGGTAGAATGTGGCCCTCAGTGTCCAGGACTTGTTACTTAATCTCCTGCCTCCAGGTGGGTTCAGACTCTTGCTAGCATTTGTCAGGATCCCTTGAGAATTAATCTTGCGTGTCACAAAATGAGTTGGGAATATTGAGTGAGTTGCCAGAAGTCTCCAGTCAGATGACAGAACTAAACATATAATCCGTGTTAGAGTCCTTCCTCAGATTCCTTACTTTGGCCCTTGGGGCTAAAATTGTAAGGCTTTTAGAGGGAACCTAATATTAGAAAACGCATCATCATGTTTTCCTTTCTGATAATTAGCATCTTTGCTTCCATTACTTCTAGCTAAGGATCATCTCCGTCGTCAAACTTTGCCAGAAAACCCAGCCACTGGTGTGAGTGGCCCTTCAGGATCCACCAGCGTAGCCACGGCAGACCCCCAGGCCCGGCTGCAGGCCTGCATAGACAGCCACCCTGTGGTCGTCTACAGTAAGTCCGCGCGCCAGCGCTGTGCTGAGGTAAGGCTTTAACCTCAAGGGGTGATGACAAATTGTTGAATTATAAAAATTTGACAGACTTTTGAGCTCAGGTGTGAGTAATTGGATTTCACTTTAGGAAGGAGTGTGTGTGGGTGTAACTTGCTTCAGATTGCTTGGGGAGTGTTGATTTGAGAACAAGATATTGCTTGAGTAATCTTTTTCTGAGCTTTTGCAAAATACTAGATGTTTTCAGGTAGTCAATGTGAGGGAAGGTTAGGGTGGGGGAGTTACCAAACCAGGTGATTTGCTGCTTTTTTAGACATTTTTATAGGGAATATTTCCTGAGGAGCTGTTACTTGGGGTACTCCAAAATTTTGGTAAATGTCTCTTTATGCTCTGGCTTATTATGGGGGAAATGACTACAAAGAGTAAACTGTGCTTCCTACTTTGTTCTTAATCTTAAACTGTCAGAGGGAGAAGGTTGGTGATCATAGCCATGGGAGAATTGGTTTAATGCACCCTGTTTAACCACAGAATGAAGCTGAGAATTGAAGGACAAACCTGATCAGGTGCTTTATGGGAAGGCTGGGGGCATGTAAATGTCCCTGCAGGTTAGCTTTAAATTATACTCAGGGTAGCTCTAGGACTGGACACAGCGGACTCTGAAGTAAACATAACTGGCCATCTCTCCAGGTTCACCTGTAGGGTAATTTATTAAGTCCAATTTTCCAGCTCTCAGGGAGGCTGAATTCAGAAGCCTTTTTATTTTGGAAGCCTTACATGGCGACAGGCTTTTTTGACTCTGTATGTGTGTGTGTTTTCTCTTTTTCCAAATAAGGAGAAAGAGAAGGTGGGCGGCAGTGGAACACTGAGAGTAGGCAGAATCTTTCCTCTTTGTTTCTCTCCTGAACATAGTCTGCTTCATTGTCAGCCGAGGCTTGATTCCTGTGAAGGCCATCGCGATGCCCTGGGTTATCGCATCGGGAGTAGGGTTGCAAAGAGGTTGGAGACAAGTCCCATCCCTAGGGGTTTAGTCAACCTAAGAAGGTAGAACATGGGCTTAAAAAGAAAAATGATCTAAGAGAGCCCATGCTAAATTCTAAATGGTTAGTTTGGGCAGTAAATGTTAGAGACATTAGAAGAGGGCTGGGTATTAGAAATGTGCTGTATAATTTCTAGCCTCTGGAGGCTTAATTATCTAGCTCTGGTGATCTTGTCCATTTTGAGGTTCCCGTCCCTTGTTTGTTTAATCTTTGGCTGGTTGATTACTGAGATTCTTTTTAGCTCTGCAATTATGTAGATGTCAATTTTTTGTCACCAAATATTGGTTAAGAGCCTGGACTCTGAAGTCAGAGTTTGGATCTTGGCCCTGTGACTTATTAGCCATGTGACTTTAGTTATTAACCTGTTGTCACTCAGTTTCCTCATCTATAAATTGTGGATAATAATAGTGCCTGTCTCATAAGTTTGTTGTGAGGATTAAATTAAGTAGCATTGATAAAAGCCACAGATCATGCCTGGCGCGTAGTAAATGCTGTGTAAGTGTTTGTGGAATGGAAGAGCTGCTTCTTCTTCCTGTTTTCCTGTCAGGACTTAAAACCTTGGGCAGTGATCTTTCTTCCATCACTACTGAGGCTCGGTTACGTGACAGTCAACAAATATCTGACTATTCTAAGTACAGTTAATCCTATTAAAAAGTGCTTATTTTTTCTAGTCTAGCCGCCCCCAAAGCCCCATGCTCACAGGGGTGTAGGAGAAGGAATGCCTGGAGTTAAAAGACCTCTCTTCTCATTCTGTAAACCTCAGTTTTCTCAACAGTAAAATAGGGAACACAGTGACACCTTATCTACTATACTTGTTAAATACACAGCTCTCTTATGAGGACCAGAGGATTTCACATCTGTGGGAAGCACTTGGAAGCCTACAATGTGTGCTTATACTAATAATGGCCACCATGGAGTGCCTGCTATGTGCCAGGCACTACTTGCTCACTCTACTTATATTTTAAAACACAGTTCAAGAATTAGAAGGTTCTAATTTTGACTCTGCTATGGTCGTGCAGTGAAGGGTGGGCTGGCTTGGTCTGGACCGTGCTAGTGATAGGCGGTTAGGGTCCGTGTGCCCTGCACTCTCAGGTCTCTCTGACCTGTGAGTACTCTTACCCCTGCTGCCTTATCTCTGAACTTACTGACGTCCTCATTTCCCAGAAAACGCAAAGCCAGGCCTGTTATTTATTTTTTTATTTTGCAGTTTTACTTAATTAAATGTACTCTGGGAATGATGAACTTGTCCTGTAAAATTTGTGGTAGGTATTTGCATACTTATTTTATTAAAATGTATAGTTATTCTGGCAACTTTATTTAACGTCATTATCTGAATAATTCCTGGGTATGCCAAGTCTTATGGACAAACATCCTCCGGTTTTACCATTCCTGTAGCTTTTCCAAATATATAATGTATAAGCTGTTTTCAGATTTGTGCCAATTGATATGGAAATTAATTTTCAGTGTCTTTGGCCATGAAGGATAGGTAGGTGCCTCTCCTGGTAAAAATACTGATTTTTTCCTGTAGGGGTACAACTTGTATACTTGGCTGTTCACATTCACTTTTTAAAAACTACCTTGAAGTAGCATTTCCTCAGATTATTTCCTTCAGTTTTGATTTTATCATCACATTTAACAGTTGTGATGTGAATAAGTCAGAATGGAGAAACTTCATTTTTATATTTGTACTTGGTCTGGTTAATTTACATTTCTCTCTGGAATGAGCAATGTAATTTGCATTAATTCAGATTGGGAAATCCCCATGAAGAAATTAACTTTTACATAAAGTTAGTTTCCTGCTTGTTATAACACATTACCACTTGTGCTTCGAATGCATCCTACTGTGAAGAGTGGGTTTTACAATGCAAAGATAGACCCTTCTTACCTTTTCAGAAAATGTGATATTTGTTTCTTATAGGTATTTCAGTGGGAAGTCAGAAATATGCAGCTGGAATTAGCAAATGTCTTATTACAGTTTATCTATTGCTTATATCCAGATTCACTGCCAGTTCTCAATAGTCTGTCTATTTTACAGGCAAAGTTTACCATCCTCTACTTTTATCAGTAAATACTCTAGAAACCAGCACTTCTGATAATTCAATACAAATCTTTAATCTTGTACTGTAGAACAATACTAAAGTTTAATCAGAGTTAAAATAACCTACAAAATAGTTTCTTAAAGTGGGGTCATGTGTCCTCCGGAATCTAGAGAGTGTATTTTCTATATTTCACGTAGTATCAAATTTTGATAATTACTTTCAGGAGCTGCTAAGATTTACTCTCTAAATCTGGAAAACTTGTTGGTTTTTGGTTTTTTTTTGGTAACAAACTGCAAATGGTTTATTTCTGAAACTAAGTGGTTAAGGAAGTCCTAAGAGTGCATGATTTTACGTGTATGAACTTTTTATTTTTAGACTTAAAAAATGAGCATTGGAATATGAAATGACATTTGTCCAGGTGGTCTCCCACTGTAGCTTTCCTGCCCTTTCCTTCAAGTCCCCCTTATTCACTGCGTCATTCTTCAGAAGCATTCTTATCTTTTAAACCTGTGTTGCCAGGGGGAGCTGAATTCAGACTGGGGCAGAGGTGCTGTCCCAAGGGGTGCAGGAGGAAGGCCACCGAGGTTGTGTGAATGAACTTGCTCTCATTTTTATCACAGTCTTGTATTTGGTCCTATAGAAATGGTAGAACTCTTTCCGAGTACTTCTGTACGGTAGGAAGCCTACTGTTTTAGTAGTTAAATTACAGTGGGACAAGAATAATTTCTCTTGATTGGTGATTTTTTTCAGGCTGCTCTAGCCTTTTTCACTTTATTGTATAAGCTGGAAAAATGTGATTCTAAACTTTCTTAAAGTATTGATTACAGGCTGTCTGTGTCATGTATGTAAATGTCATTTTAAAGTCTCTTATCAGTAATTTAAATGTTATTTAGTGGTACAAATTTGGCAAAAATAATTCGTATCCTTCAAAAAAAATTTTGTTTTTTACCAGTATAATTTGTATATTCTTGACTTTTGTAACTGATTTGTTGGTGGAAGTTTACTCAGCCAAAAAATAAATAAATAATACTTTGATTATTGTGGGATGTGTTTTTTCCCGAGTTGCCACATAATGTTTTGGAAATATTAAGTATTCTGGTGCCTTTTTAAACATGGTTAGTGTGAAACCCATTTTATAGTGGGATAGACTGAGTCACTAAACATGTAAAATATATTTTATGAAGCCATGCAGGTGAATCATTGAAAATGGGATGGACTCAGCAGACTTCAAATACCCTTTTAAATATTTTTACTATCAACGGGGAGAGTCTTGTGGGTTACATAAAAGTGAACTGGAAAGTTTTCAAAGGAGAAGACTGATTGAGGAGGGAAGCAGCAAAGCTGGAGAAGAGAGACTTCTGTTGGTTGTAACCTTTTTTTTGGACATTCTCCTCGTTTTTCAGTTTCTTCCAGGTAAAGAAGATATTTAAGTCTATCCGTGTTTCTTATTTTTTGCTTGAACTTGATCAAGCAGGTAAGAGTCTAATATGTAAATTATATCTGCTGACTGTACATTTTATTTAATCTATTCTGTTTGGCTTTCATTTTTCCTCCTTGAGGTTTTCATTGTTTAGTGAGCCTTACCAGTTGGTTTCTCTTATTGACCATTTAGACACAGCACGCCCCTGGGACACATCATACTCACCTTTAGTCTTTACCTGGTTTATAGCCTTGCTATTACTTTGAGTTTCCTGTTTTTGAAATCATTCTTCCTTTTGACCTTGAGTCTAGTTACAGGTACAGTATTTGCTGGTTGTATGGTAACTTTGTTTTTCGCAAATTTGCCTCCTTTCTGGCAAGTCATATCAAATAGTATTTGAATTAAGTATAAATTGAGATCCACTCAGAAATTGTGGAAAGGACATATAAAGACAAGTAATGATAAAGATCCATGGAAGAAGCCATTGGGAGATAGTTGCATGTGACTGGAAATCCCAGGGAAAGAAAAGTTGGTGGGATAAAATTGAAAGCCTCTTTCTAGAATCATGGGGCTCATGTTTTTGTTCATGGATCAGAAAATCCCAAAGATTCATCAGACAAACATTATTAAGAATCTGATCAAGTCCCCAGCATCATCATTTCTATTAGGAAAAGTGGGCCCCTCCAGATCAGGAAGTGTAGGTAACCTTCATGCCTAGAAGCTTGGGGAAGCAGAGTCCTGGGCATTTATAGTCTCAGCCCAGTTTCTGAAGGAACAAAACAACACAGAGGAGACTCAGCTAGAGAGAGAAATGGTAACTGGGATAGAAAGCTCATTTCTAGGGTCAAGAGAAAGGAGGTAGTTGTGGGGGAGGAAACTATTATTTGTTGTTTATAAGACAGATTCTCTAATACAGAGAGAATCAGATAATAGCCGCCACTTATTGAGTGCCTGCTGTTTCATAGGGACTATGCTGGGTTTGTATACAAAGTCACTAATCCACAAGAGCTTTGCAAGGAAAATTTTATCCACATTTTACAGATGAGGAAA